AGAAACACCAATCTGAAAGGATATATGCACCCCTATGTTCATAGCACCACAATTTACCATAGTAAGATTTGGAAATAGCCTAAGTGTCCATCAGCAGGCAAATTGATTTAAAACAACTGTGGCACATCTACACAATGGAATACTACACTAGTGTAAAAAAGGAAGAACTCTTACCATTGCAATAACATGTTTGGACCTGGAGAACATTATGCTAAGAAAAATAAGCCAGTCAGAGAAAAATAAATATCACATGATCTCACTCATTTGTGGAATATAATGAACAACATAACCTGATGAACAAAAGTAGATCCAAAGACATGGAAACAACAATCAAACTATCAAACCTCAGAAGGAAGGCAGGGAGAGGTTTGGAGGGGTAGCAGTGGGGGTGAGAGATCAACCAAAAGACTGTCATGCATGCATATAAACATAATCAGTGGACACAGACAGTAGCGGGGTGAGGGCATGTGCTGGGAGTGGAAGTGGCTAGGGAGAGGTCAATAGGGAAAAAGGAGAAATATGTAATACTTTAAACAATAAAAAATTAATAAAATAAAAAAGGACTAAAGCAACAGTCTATATTGACAACCTGTTAGAAGAGAGACGCCTCCCCTATCTACAATTCATAAAATCCTGACATCAGAGACATGAGTTCTCCTTCCCCCAAATCAAAAATACACGTATGAGGGGGTGGGAAATCAAACAAGGAACTTTCATCTTTGTCAGGTTTCAGTGAACTGACTGCAACTAAAATAATTATCAAACCACAAGTAAAACTAAATGAAACTATAATGTCAAAACCAAAATTAGAGAAATCTTCAAAAGCTGTAAACCCATCTTACCTGACATGAATCTCTGTAATTCTTATTGGGTGTTTTGAAAAAAAAAATTTTTTTTAATAAATTGGGAAATACCAGAAAATGGGCCATTTGCAGAACTAGTCTTAGCAAATTGATTTTCAGAGAAGTGGCTTTCAGAGAATTAAGTTTCCCTGCAGTGCCCGAAAGCCGAGTTGGCAGCCCAGAGGCTTCTTGCACACTTTCCAATTCCATCTCGTGTCCTAGTCGGGGGGGGGGGGGGGGGGGGGGGGGGGGGGGGTAGGGCTGCTGTGTGGACCACGTGAGGAAGTGGAACCAGCCCTCACAGTCTTCAAGGAAGTTGGTGTCAACTCTGAAACCTGTTCTGTATATCTCCTGCAGAATCAGGTGTGACAAGAGTCACTGAAACTCTGAATATTCTGCCCTGTGGGTCCCCAGCAACCCCTCCCCCCAACAACTCCCCCCAGGGCCACTTCCTCCAGGGGCAGGGCCACTAGGTGATGGAGGGGCACTGGAGGGAACAGCCTCCGGCCCTCATTCCATCCAGGTCCTTATCTCAATCAGGACCTCAAGTGAGTCACTTCCTCTCCCAAGCCCTCAGATACTCTTCCTGTTCTCCTGGGCAATCAATAAAAAGAAGTGTCTGCTGCTTCCTTCTTCTTCTTCTTCTTCTTCTTCTTCTTCTTCTTCTTCTTCTTCTTCTTCTTCTTCTTTTTAAATATATTTTATTGATTTTTTACAGAGAGGAAGAGAGAGGAATAGAGAGTTAGAAACGTCGATGAGAGAGAAACATCCACCAGCTGCCTCTTGCACACCCCTTACCGGGGATGTGCAACCAAGGTACATGCCCTTGACCGAAATCAAACCTGGGACTTTTCAGTCTGCAGACAGATGCTCTATCCACTGAGCCAAACCAGTTCTAGTGCTGCTGCTTTCTTCTTGCCTTGAGGCTGCCTCAAGCCCTTTTCAGGAAGAGCTCATCCGTGTCAAACATCCAGTCTCTCATACCAACCAAGTCTCCTACATCCTGGACTGCGGTGGCTTCATTTCTCTTCTTCCCTCTGTAAGTTCTCATCTCCCATGTACTGTGTGCATTATTTTTAGTGTAACATATGTTAGACATACAACAACATGGAGAATAAAACAGCTAGCTTCCATGTAGCGGTCAGGCAGCCAAAGAAACAAAACCTGAAGGCATCAATTGAGGGTCCCTGTCCTCCCACTCCCAGGAAACATCAGTCCTGAACTTGGAGTTCACTGTTCTCATGTATGAGGCACATATTTCTTCCAAGTCAGAAAAAAGCTTTTTTTCTTTTCTTTTCTTCTTCTTTTTTTTTTTTTTTTCAGAAAAGAAAATCCATTTTATACTCCCCAGACTTGAGCAGTTACTTATTCTCAGATATTTGGACCTCATTGACCAGTTAAATGTCTAAATTTATTTTGGGCACTTTTATTTATTTATTTTATTTATTTTATTTTAAAATAAATCTTTATTGTTCAGATTATTACAAATGTGTTCCTCTTTCTCCCCTTCAACCCCTTCAATTGTTCCCCTCCACCAGGTTCCCACTCCACCCTTTGTCCTTTCCCCACCCCCCATTTTCCTCATCTATAGGTGCACAGTTTATGTTCAGCCTCTTTCCTCACCATTCTTTCTTTTTTTTTTTTTTAGTCAATCTCTATTGTTCATATTATTACAAAGGTTCCTCATTTCTTCCCCCTTCCACCAGGTTCCCACCCCACCCTTCGCTCCCTCCCCATCCCCCATTGTCCTCATCCATAGGTGCACAGTTTATGTTCAGTCTCTTCCTCCCTCCCTTTCCCCGATTGTAAATCCCTTTTCAGATAGTAAATAAGTTACTTAGCATTTTCTCATATCAATAATACCTCCACATGATTTTGGGCACTTTTAGGACTTTCAGAATAAGAGCATGAAAAAGAACCCCACAAAACTACCATCTGCTATTACAGTAGCTTTATGAAGGAAAAGCCATTTAACATGGAAAATACAGAAAGAACATAGCCTTGGATTTTAAAAAATGAATATATTTAGGTTAGTTTAAAAACTGAATAGATTTAGTTCTTCTCTCGATTTCACATGGAGCCTGAAAAACTTCATCTTAGATGTGCTTGGCATTTAAGAATCACTAATTCAGGAAGTCACTGTGACCTATGTCCCTCAGAGGTTGGGGACTTTCTGGAGGGAACCACCCACCCCTCCTCTACACCTTTTCCTTATCTCTCAGTCTTTGTCTACAGGTCTTTGTCTCCAAATAAGATCCCACACCTTCCTCCCACCCTCAGAGCCCTCAGGGACCTCTGAATTCCCTCCCTTCTTCTTTCACTGTTCCCCAGCCTACAGTCCTCAAGCCTTCCCTCACTGTGTCCAACCACAGGCGCAACTCTGGGAGGCACATGGCCAAATCTGAGGACAGGGAGACCAGAGTGGCCCACTGGAAATGTCAAATGGGGGAGAATAAAAATGTCGATAATGTGGCAGCCCTACCTTGATAAGTGGCTCTGCTCCCATCTCCACCACAGGTGTTCAAATGATGGGGTGGGTGGTGCAGGGGGCCTGGTGTCAGTGTTTTGCAATAACCCCCAAGGAGCCGGAACCGGTTTGACTCAGTGGTAGAGCGTTGGTCTGCGGACTGAAAGGTCCTGGGTTCGATTCCCATCAAGGGCATGTGCCTTGGTTGCAGGCACATCCCCGGTAGGGGGTGTGCAAGAGGCAGCTGGTCGATGTTTCTCTCTCATCGACGTTTCTAGCTTTCTATCTTTCTCCCTTTCTCTCTGTAAAAAATCAATAAAATATATTTTAAAAAATAACCCCCAAGGAAAGCTGGCTCTGTCTCTCCCCACCCTAAGCTGGAACCACCAGCACTAGGACAAGATAAAGTCAGTACCACAGACAGTTTGGACTAAAATTTTATTCAAAAACTAAAGAAAAACTCATTTCATGAAGTGGCTACCAGAAGCTCATCATAAATGGCACCCACACCTGGTTGCATAAAATGCTGACTGCTCCCTTTAACCCCCTGGACCTCAGTTTCCTCATGTGCAAGATGAGTTCAGATTAGACTGGCTCTGAGAACCAGGACAAGGGAGCCTCAGAAATTCAGAGCTGTGACAAGCAGCCTCAAATGGGTCTAATTTTGGAAAACTACACAATAATACTATAAACCCAAGTTCAAATGGTAGCTCTCTTGACATCAGGATGGGTCATGTAGCTGCCATCAGACCTTCATCTCCTATCTCTCTTTCTGACTCTTCCCAGCTCCACAGCCTGGAGGCAACCTCAGAGACCCCAACTCAAAGGGGGCTGTGAAGGAATAAGAGTGAGGAGCTGGGTTCTGGGCTGGGGGTGGGGGTCGGGGAAGTAAACTTCCCACCGATGGTTGGCTCTCAGCTTGGAAACACCCTAGGCCCTGGCCCCTGGGACCTAGGGCAAGCAGCCCCATCTCAAGTTGCACAATTCCTTTGCCCATCGTAGCACCTCTGTCTCCCCTTCCCCACTCTCCTGCCTTCATTTCAGTGAGGCCACCTCCACCTTGTGGTTTTCAAATCTCCACAACCCTGCATCTCAAATAAGGACACACACACATTTTAAAAAATAATTTGAATCTAAACAACAGTTGGCTGTATTCAAAGCATGGTTGACTTTATTGTTTGTGCTGGAAGCAGTGTCCCAGCTCTGGGGTCTATGCTCTGACCTTAACCCAGAAGCTCAGGCAAAGAACCATGTCTCTTCCACCCCTTATCACACCCAGATCACGAAAGAGAGGAACAGGCAGTCATCTGGCCTGTTCAGGTTGGTTCTCCGCCTGGGAACCAGGGAAAGGGGTAGAGGTTCAAAAGAATTCCACATGCCACCCTTTGGGACCCTTCAAACTTTCAAGCACCAGTGCACCACCCTTGGAGCTCACATTCCTTTTATTTGGATCACCACTTGGCTTTGGGATTCCCACAACAGCCCTGTGAGGTAGGGAACACCCCTATTCACAGGAGAAGCCCTAACCCCTCCCCCCCCCCCCCCCCCCCCAGGCACAGAGAGTGTCCCAACAGCGCAGAACCCAAGCCCAGAGAGGCAAGTGCCCCACCACCCAGTCTCCCTCTGTGTCCCCAGGGCACAAGCAGGGGTCGCAGAACCAGAGTCAAGCAGAGGAGACACTGAATGGGGCCTCACTTCTGGTTGAGCATTCGTGAGAATTCCTCATAGTTCACCCGGCCATCCTTGTCCACATCCGCCTCCTGGATCATGGCCTCCAGGTCCTTCTGGGAGAGCTCCTGCCCCACCTGGGCCATGGCCTGCTTGAGCTCATCTATGGTGATGTGGCCATCGCCATTCAGGTCGAAGGCTCGGAAGATCATCTTTAGGTCCTGCTCGCCGCCCCAGGACTTCATCCTCTTCACCATCTCGTTCAGGAACTCCTCGAAGCTGATGGCACCGTCACCATCAGTGTCCACCCGGGCGATGAGCTCCTTCAGCTCGGCCTCGGACGGGTTCTGGCCCAGGGATTTCATGACGGCACCCAGCTCCTCCACATTGATTTTGCCATCCCCGTCCGTGTCGAACCTGGTGAAGGCTGCCTTGAACTCAGCCACCTGCTCTTTAGACAGCTCCTCCGCCATGTCGCTTGCTGCCAACCAGTTCAATGGGCTCCTGTCAGAACTGGGGACCAGTGGCTGGGACGAGCTGTGTCTGTGTGAGGGCAGAGCTCAGGAGGCAGCCTTGCCATGGGGTGGGAACCCCTCCTTTTCTGCTGTCGGAGCAAAGGGAGGAGGCAGGCTCCCCACCCACCCCACATCCTCAGGCAAAATCCTCCTCCCAGGAGGGACAGATGAGCTACAGACAAGAAATGCAGGAATTGGAGTGGCAGGGCCCGCCCTGGAGAGGCTGGGGGAGCCATGGGCCTGCTAGCTTCTCCTGACCCAGAAGCTTTTTGTCAGGCGACTCTCACAGAGACCCCCACCAAGCTGAGGGGTCAGGACAGCCTTCCCAGTTTATAGAGCTGGAGGTAGTCAAGGGGAAGGGAGCCTCGTCAGTGGGTACAGCTGCCCTGAAGGAGTGGATCCCTGTGGCCAGGATTCCTGTTGCCCTCTCTTGGGGCTGCTGTACTGCTCTTGTCCCATTAAGTCTTGTCCTGTGGGGGCAGGTGGAACTAGGATTGAGTGGAATTTTACTAGGCTGGAACCATGGTATCCTCAAATGTCCAGGGCTGTCAACAATCCATAGGTGGAGGAGGTGGCCAACTGCCTGTAGCTTTGAGAAAGTGAGGAGCTGGGTGGCATTTGGAACCTGGCATGCAGGTGATGCTGAGAATCTTTTATTAAAGGAATGTTTCTAGTATAACTTCAGAGGTGAGGAAAGGCTTCCTGTCCCTGCAGAATCTTTCTCTGACTTGATTCATTCTATCATTAAGTCTAAGTAAGAACTGGGTGCTTGTTTACATTCACAGGGGAATCTTGCCTGAGAGCCACGGGGAGACCAGAGAGCAGTGGGTGGCCCAGCAGGCCAGCCCCTGAAAATGCTCAGGGGTAGAAGAACGTACATGGGATGACTGAAATGCAAACATGGCCAAGCTTGCAGGTTTACTAAGCTCTAAGCTCAGAACCCCAGAACCCCAGTCTGGGAATCTCCCCAGCCCACAGTCTGGTTTGTTCTTTGGAAGGAAATCCCACTGCTCTGAGTAGCAGAGTTTAGACCAAGAGCTTGGACCTTGGGGATCGTCCCCAAGTTTTTAGGTAGTGAGATCCGAGGCTATGAAGGGACATTTGCCTTGGAGTCTCAAGCAAAACTACACCTGATCCCTATAAATTCCCGTGACCCTCCCCACCCCTGCCTGTGTGTAAGGAATAAACTCCTTCCTCCTCCAACTGAGACATGTGATCAATTCCATCTCTCTCTCTGGTTCAGCCCATCAAACACACTGAGGATTCTCTCCTTCCCTATGGGGGCAGCCAGCCAAGCGCCGTCCACCCCTCAGGGCTGCACACCCACCCCAGCCCACACCAAGTCCAGGGGACCCAGATGGAGAGAGACACCAGGGAAATGTTTCAGTTGCATAGCTCCTTTTATAAAGACATCTAGAAGAAGCATTGCTCTTTCATTTGTGCTGAAGTCATAATACTGATGCCTTAATACTTATTGAGCAACTAATCTCTAATTGAAACTGACAATCAGTATCGGTTGGAGCATGTGGGTCCACCTAAGACACCAGGACAGGGAAGCTCCTGTTCCGCAGGCAACAAGGGAAGGGTGGAGCTTCTAATAACTGGAGCAGCCCAGCTCCTTTATTTATTTTTCTAAGACTATTTGAAGATACACATCTATACTTTAAATGTCCTTTTCTTTCATCTTATTGGCAGGACTTTTGATAATTATTTCCTTGTTTTCCCTTGGTATAAAATAACACATGGCAAGGCAAGAGAGAGACTTAGGTTCTTGGTTCAAGCTCCATATCTGATTTGGGAACTTAACTTGGGACTTTGGGTATCTTCACCTATAAAATAGGATAATAAATCCACCATATCTGATCAGGGCACTTAGGATCAAAGGTCAAAGTACTTTGATCATCAGAAGGTGTTATTATTCTGCAACAAATCTCACGTGTAGTCACATGCTGGCTCGTGTTTGATGTAAACCAACACTCCAGAAAATATCCACTTAAAAGGGACCTCACTCTCAATTTTGTTATTATACCTTTCTTGGTTGAACAAATATATTAAACTTGTCTGCTGCCTGGAGTATCAAACAGCCCATGGCTCTGAACTCTGAACAGCTTTTGGAAGTAAGCCCTAACAGATGCAGAGGCTTCTATTTAGAAAAATCAGCTAGTCCCGGCCAATGTGGCTCAGTTGTTGAACATTGATCTATGAGTCAGGAGGTCACAGTTGGATTCCCAGTCAGTATACATGCCTGGGTTGTGGGCTCCATCCCCAGTATGGATTGTGCAGTAGACAGCTGATCAATGATTCTCTCTCTATCACTGGTGTTTCTATCTCTTTCTCTGTCTCCCCTCCTCTCTGAAATCAATAAAAACATATTAAAAAAAAAAAAAAAAAGAAGAAGAAGAAGAAGAAGAGAAAGATCATATATCTAAGAGGACAATGACCATTATTCATGTAACACCTCATTCCCTCCACATAGAGACGGAAGCTTCAGGAGATAAAGTGCTATGCCCAAGGCCTCCCAGAATTTGGAGAGAGAGCCAGACTTCTGGTTGAGTATGTCTTCATCCTCAGTCTGTCATTTTGGGACCTACTTCCTCTCTAAGGCACTCTCTTCTTTTTCCAGAGAAGGAATCAACACTGAAATCATTTCTTCACCCCTTTCCACTTGCTCAGCCTCCTGACTGACCAACAGCACAGGGCATCTGACAGCCAACCCCAATTAAACTTGATGGAGCCCCTTTCTTCCTCTGCTGGATTAATTCACAGTGGCCTGGATGCAGAGCCCAGCTCTTTGGAGGGATTGGAAGAGAAATGCCTCATATTGATGGCACCTTCACAGCCAAAGTGCATCCATAGGCCTGCGAGGCTCCCTGCATGTGATGGGAGTGAGAGTGTACCTGGTACAGGAGCCTGAGGCTGGGGAGACTGCCCTTTGCTTGGCCCACAGCTGAGCCCCCTAGGGCCATATAAGAAGCATGAACTGTGTCAATGGGCACAGAATAACCACACTTGATGGGAGTCAGTTTTGCTAAAGGAAACCAATGAAGATGTGGTTTGTCAGAGAGGAGAGAAATGGGCAGGTTTGTTAGAGAAAGCTCTGAGCCTTTTCAGTGTCCCTGTTGGAGGTCAAGTCTCATGCCCAGGACTCATTCCCTCTCCTGCCCCCTCTCAGTGTGTCTCCTTGTTGTTAAGAAAACCCTGACTCTTCCTAGTGGGAACAGCCATGGTCCTGGAGGAGAAATAGGTCACCTTCATTGAGGAGAGTTGGAACCTCCGAGGATGTTACAGGAAGGAGGAAGCCCTGGAGCAAGGGGTGTTGTCACTGTCAGACTGTGAGGGGTGCAGTAGCCACATACGTGTGTGTGTGTGTGTGTGTGTGTGTGTGTGTGTGTGTGTGTTTGTGTGTTGGGAGGGGGAGTAGAGAGTGATTGTTCTGTCTTTCAGATGTTTAGAACCAATACTGAAGCCTGCTCCAGCTTTCACAGGAGCCTGGCCCCAGGAACAAAACACTCCAGCACTGGCATTACTCTTTGGCTTTGTAGACAAACTACTTGTGAGAAACCAGTAAGACAGGTCTTGGAGACTCCTCTGGCTCCCCTGACTTGCTGGAACCTGTTTGTCCCTCAACCCTGAGCCAGTCTCTGGTGTTGACACCGCCCTGACCTTTCCCAGGTAGATCCCACCTCCTGGAAACAAGGAAGGAACCCATGTGTGAATCATGTTGTGCTCTGTCATGCCTTTCTTAAGGAATGAGCAGCAAATGGTAGGCTTCGACCCCCCATTGTGTCCGCTCCCCTAAACCTAACTCACACTCCTCCCCACAGAGGCAATACCGTGTTTAGTTTTGGGACTGGGCGGCTGTGGGGCGTGTTCCTGGCTTCCTGTGACACAGGCTATGTAGCCTGGGGCAGGTGACTTCACCTCCCCAGCATCAGAGCCAAGCATTCCAAAGGAGATAATAGTAGTGCCAGCTTTATAAGGTGTTAAGTAGGTTAACTGAGCTTCAGAGAAAGCATTAGCTCAGTGTCCAACATCAGGTCAATACTCAGTAAATAGGACCATTACTATCACTCATTTATCCATTCGCCCAAGTCTTGTTTCCTCCAAGCATCTTCCGCCTGGCCACTGGCATAGCATTCTTGAAGCAGACCCAGATGGCTACCGAGTTCTCAGAAAGTCTACAGCCAACTTAAGCACCCAATCTCACTGATGCCAGGGACAGAGTCTGTCCTGCTCACCGAGTCATTCCTGGGCCTGCCTCGGAGCAGGAGCTCTTGGCTGTGGAGTGAATTCGCCGATGAACCTCGTTCTGCAGGAAGGATCACATCTTGAGGACTCGGAAGTTGGAGTCCGCCTTTGCATTTGAGATCCCTGTGCAATCGCAGGTGTAGTTCTTGAGCTCCCTGAGGGTCACCTGGGAAAGCACAGAAGCCTGACTCTCATGGAGATTGTGTTCAAAGAGACACATCACGTGTCTGTGTTCCGGGGATCGTGTGTTTGATTGCTCTGCCCTCAGAATGGGTTGCTGGAGCAGGCTGCTGTGTATTCAGTGCCCACAATTTGCCCAGACTTGTTGGGGTGGTTGGCAAGAACACTCCTTCCCCCTCTTGTTTGGTCAATGACACACCTGGGAACTTGGCAGGACAGGCACTACTCTCTGTCCCAGACCCAGGGCCTACTCACAGTTCACACACATGCCCGGTCCCAGGGACAATGCGCTGGTTATCCTGCGCTTGCTTTTCTGTAAGAAGTGCTTTGAGCCAAGTGTTTTTCCAGATAACTGAAACTGACCCCTTTAACTACCAAGCATGTTAAGTTTAACCACCTTCACTGGCAATCTCTCTAAGAGTGTGCTTTATGTTTTATTCCTCACCATTTTAAACAAGATGGGTGGGAATATAATCCCCGTGGTTAGAAATTCGCAATATGGCGGCAGTCTTGTCGTTATGTAGCACTGC